GAACTGACATGTACACACTGCTGTATTTAATACAGATAACCAACCAGGACCTACTGTATAGACAGGGAATGCTGCTCAGTATTCTGTAACAACCTAAATGGGAAAAGAATTTGAAAAAGGATAGATCCATGTATATCCTTATAACTGAATCACTTTGCTGGACACCTGAAACTAACAGAACATTGTTAATCAATTATACCTGTCTGGAGGATTCTGTTCCATTTCTGATGTTTCCCAGCAATGCCTATGATGGGGTGTGTAAATCTGTCTAAGTGTACAGTTCAGTATTGCAAACCTTCCCCTTGGATGCTGACATAACCCACATCCTCCACAATCAGCTTTATTGATAATAAGAATAAGGATGGTATATCTTTATATTTTTTCCTTTTCCATTTGTGTTCTCTGTCTAGCTCTTCTCTCTGTTAGCTCAGGCAGGGGACAATGGACAGTAACACTTGAGTTCCACCAAACCCAACACCTAGGACCCATGTCCTCAAACACTGACTACAGTTCCAGTGCCTCTGGTGAAAGCATGTTAGCCTGTCACTTTGGTGTTCCTTAAAGACGGCTCTGAGGGACTGTGTGGCCATGAAATGAGGAAAGCTCTGTTTATGGAGAGAAGAAAAGGAGCTAGCAAAGGAAATAGGAAAGAAAGGAATAGATGGAAAGTGAGAGATGGTATAGGAATTTACAGATACACAAAGCTCACAAGTTCTCCAAATAGCTTCAAATGTGTTACACATTGTACATGTGGTGATTTTGATGGTAAAAAATCAGAGAGATGAAAAGGTATCCAGAAAGGCCATTAGGACAATAGATGCTCTAATCTTTTTTTTTTTTTAAGATAAAGATATTTATAGAAGGAAAGAGTCCATGAAAAAGACTGAAAATGCTAGAAAGGAAGTATTTGTGTGTGAGTATGTTGTTGTGTTGGAGAAGGCAATGGCACCCCACTCCAGAACTCTTGCCTGGAAAATCCCATGGACAGAGGAGCCTGGTAGGCTGCAGTCCATGGGGTCGCTAAGAGTCAGACATGACTGAGCAACTTCACTTTCATTTTTCACTTTAATTTTTCACTTTCATGCATTGGAGAAGGAAGTGGCAACCCACTCAAGTCTTCTTGCCTGGAGAATCCCAGGGACGGTGGAGCCTGGTGGGCTGCCGTCTATGGGGTTGCACAGAGTTGGACACGAATGAAGCGACTTAGCAGTAGCAGCAGCAGCATGTTGTTGTGTGAGGGGGAGGGAGAGGGAGAGGGAGAGGAAGGGGAGAGTCTTACATCAGTGTTTCTTAAGATAATTTTTAAATTCAGATTTTTCAATAAGCTCAGGGATCTGTATCTTAACACCTGGTGATTGCTAAACACTCTAAAGATTAATAACTATTATTTAAGTATTGGAAGGGGGTGTAATTTTGTGTTTACTGGCAAGAGATTAGCTTTAGATAAGAAGTAAAGCCCCTCTGAGTCTAGATGGAATGATGAGAAGATAGAAATATGTTTAGTATATGGTGATGTAAAAACAAAAGGTATATAAAAAGGTGCAAGAAGACCTGTGTTACTTAATGTTGCATGGTTTTCTGCTTTTATTATTCTTTTAAAGAGAGGAATAATTTTCTCTGTGTATTAGTCCTTGTGCATATGTTCTCAGTCATGTCAGCTCTTTGTAACCCTATGGACTGTAGCCCTCCAGGCTCATCTGCCGTGGAATTCTCTAGGCAAGAATGTTGGGTTGGGTTGCCATTTCCTCCTCCAGGGGATCTTCCCCACCCAGGGTCAAACTAGCATCCCCTGTGAACCCTGCATTGGCAGGCAGGTTCTTTTACCCAGTGAGCCACCTGAGACGCCCCGTTGGTCTCTGTGCTTGATATTTTGTGTGTGTTAGTCACTCAGTCGTGTTTGATTCTTTGCAACCCCATGGACAGTAGCCCGCCAGGCTCCTCTGTCAATGGGATTCTCCATTGAAGAATACTGGGGTGGGATGCCATTTCCTTCTCTAGCTTGGTACTTTGCTTCTGTTCTATGCCTTAATGCTCAACACTCTCTCTGTAGAGTTGACATTATTTTCTTCTTTGTCTTGAAAAGAAACTAAGATTTATAGAAATTGAGTAACATGTCAGGATGACACATTCAAGTACTAGTGGAACTGGGGTCTGGTTTCAAGTAAATCAGGCAGTCTGTCTCCAAATCTCCAACTTCTTTAGCATAAGGTAAGACATTTTCTGTAAAAGGCCAGGGAGTAAAGGTTTTATGTTTTGTGGACAGTTACTCAACCCTGGTACTGACTGCAAAAGCAGCCACAGATAATAATGTAAATTGTGGGCGTACTAGGTTTAAGAAAAGCTTTATTTGTGGATACTGAAATTTATAGGAATTTACAGATCTAGAAATTACACAAGTTCCCCAAATAGCTTCAGATATATTACATAACTGTGCAAGTGGCAATTTTGATAGTAAAAAATAAGAGAGATGAAAAGGTAGCCAGAAAGGCTATTAGGACAATAGATACTCTAGTTTGTTTTTTTTTTTAAGATAAAGGATATTGATAGAAGGAAAGAGTCCAGGAAAGAGACTAAAAATATCAGAAAGAAAGTATTCATGTAATTTCCATGTATAACAAAATATTTTTCTTTTCTTCGTGTTTTTTTTTCAACCGTTTAAAAATGTAGAAACCATCTTAACTTTGTGGGCTGTACAAACCCAGATAGTGGGCCATGGACTTATCAGCTCCTGGCATAAGGCTCTGGCTATAAGATTCATGCTCTCCACATCGTTTTTCCAAATGTAGAATCTGAGATTATCCAATCAGAGCAAAAACTAAGGCTTACAGTGAAAAGTAACTCTCTGAAATAATCATTGTTTTTTTCAGAGGAAAAACATGATTCCGTTAGTTCTGTATCATTTTACATCTTTTGATCCTGGATCAAAAAAAGGAAAAGCAGACTGTAGTGGGGATTATGTCGCTTATCATCTGTTTGCTTTTCCAGATTCTTTGTCCCCACTGCTCTGAGATGGAAGAGTCTGGTCTGAATGGATGCCTCCTTATTCTCTGGCTTTTGCTTAGGATTGGCCAACAGGGAGCCCTGGTAGGGAGTGAAAGGGAGGGAGGAGAGTCCAGTTAGGATCTTTATTCATCTACTCCCTCCCTAACAGGTCCAAGCAGGTTGGATATTGGCTGTAAGGTCTCAGCTCCTTTTTAAGCATCCCTCTTTGTGGTACACCTCCTCCCCAGGTTCTAGAAACTACTCTCCTCCTCTCTACTTCCAGTCTAGGAGGAGTGCTCATGTCCTGCACTACCGCCCAGGGTGAGCTGCACTATCTCTAAGAGTTTTTTCCACATCTTTCTTGTACCTTTGTATCCAGTCCTTTTATTGCTCTCTTCCTATGTAGCACAATTTGATTGTGCCCCGTTTCTTGTGAGGAACACGTGAGGTGAGGACCCTGTCTAATACAGAGAACGAGCTTGTGCTTGTAGCAGTATCTGTTTAGAGGCTTCTGCAGAGGGTCTCATTCTCTGCAGGAAAAAAAAAATTACCGTTCTTCCCTTTGTGTCCATCCTGTACCCTATAATATATTTTTCACAACTTTATTGAAGTTTGACATAAACTAAATTGCACAAGTTAAAGTACACATTTTATGCCAGCTTCAGTGTGAAATGTTCCCTATGCTTGCCTACTCAGAATCTAACTTTTTTTGAATGTTCTCACAATACTTTGCCTATTTCTCTGCTGCAGTACAAACATTAGGTTTCAAATTACAGTAATTTGAGTTTCTTTTACTAAACTGCTAACATCGTGTCTTCATTTTTTCAATACCCAATGGATACAATAATGCAGTGCAATGAAGTAAGTGACTAATAAATGTTTGATGAATGAATGCACAAACGTGCATATGGGTGAATGAAGGAATAAATTGAATATAAACTAGTGAAAACAAACGAAAAAAAGTACACATCTTAATAAGCTTTGATATATATGTGTACCCATGAAATCAACATCAGAATCAGGGTAATGAGTACATTCATCACATCTGAAAGTTTTCTTGTGTACTTTTTTTTTCTTTGAGCTTGAGCTCTTTCTTTACTGCTTTCCCTCTCCTGTTTGACCCCATCCCCAAGCAGTCACTGATCTACTTTTGGCTATCAAAGATTCATTTATTCTTTTAAGAATTATTTATATCTGGAGAATCATTTCAGTATGAATTTGCTTGTCTTTGGTCCAGTCTCATTCTTTTGGCATAATTGCTTCTTATAACATATTTAGTTGTCATATTACAAAGTGTTTATTACCTGTACATGCCAGCATATCTATTTGCCTCTATTTGAAGAACTTCAAGTTCTTCAAAGTATGCTGCGCTTGTCATTGTATCCTAAGAACACGTCACAGCACTTGACATAGAGAAGATACTCAGGAATTAGGGGAGGACGGAAAGAAGGGAGGTGCGGGATGGCACCTGGCATCCATCCCCTGAGAGCTCCTTGCTTCTCTAGCAATGAAATTTCTTAAGTAGCTCTGTGGACAGTGTTTAATGATCTGTGCAGAATGGAAACCTGTCAATAGGACTGGCTCTCAGTCAGGAGATGAAGCAGATGACTTTCTTCCTCTTTTACGTGGGAGTTATCATCCCACACTTGCCTTGTCCTTCCTTTCTCCCATCTCCTCTGTAGAATCCAGAAATCTACCTATTTGTTGTATGTAAAGGATGTACCAGCAATTTCTCGCCACCCAGGCCAGCAGGGGAGAGAGGAGTGGAGAGGGGATTCCTGGGGAGGAGTAATAAGGTTAGACAGCATGGGATTCCAGGGCTGAAGCAGAAATAGTCTTACATGTGTGTGGGGTAAGGGTGTGGATCACATACTCCCACATAGGTACTTCCCAAGAGAAATGAGCAGAAAATATACTTTTGTAGTTTCTTCCGCTATCATTTTGGGCTAAATATGTGGAGTCTGAAGGACCTGGATTGTCTTTATTGAGAGCTAAATAGTCTGATTCCTTCCATTTAGATTTCTGAACTTTGAGACAGCAAGATTGATGCTGCAGGAAAGCAAAGGCCTTGAACAATCAGCTTTGGCCTCGGGCTACAGTGAGTACATGAATTGGTTTGGTTAATGGTCTGAAAATCCTGTGATAGAGCCCTCTCCCCTCATTCAGATCTGAGATGTCTATCTATCTTAGTCCATTCAAGTTCAGGCATAGCTTGGAAAACTCCTCCTCTATGTTCTCTTCTCCCATGGGTTTATCAACAGCTGTTAACATCATGCCTTTATTCTGGGACACAGATGGACAATAAAAGTCCTCCAGGATTAAAAAAGGTAAGTAATTCCAACTGCCTCTTCCATCTTTTTTAGATGCTTCGTGTTGTTCTGTCTTCAGCCCCTTAACAGAGTCGAGACTGATTATTTACATTTTAGTGTGATTGAGTTCTATAGACAAGCCCAGGCTTGCTGGGCTAGCAGCCAGCTTACTCCCAAGGCATCCTGGTGCCGTGGAGTGTGTGTAACTAAAATCCCCGGCTACAGATTTCAAAAGTGTTGCTTCCAATTCTTTACAGTTACATTAGATACAACAATTTATACAAGAATGAAATAGATTTGTGGGTTACCCTGGAAACTTAACTGCCACATGTAACATGTTGTAGAAGTTTCCTTCTATTCCTTCTTTGATAAGAGATTTCTTTAAAAATCAGTAACGATATCACGCCAGTCAGAATGACTGCTATCAAAAAGTCTACAAACAATAAATGTTGGAGAGGGTGCGGAGAAAAGGGAACCCTCTTACACTGTTGATGGGAATGCAAACTAGTATGGCCACTGTGGAGGACAGTGTGGAGATTCCTTTAAAAACTGGAAATAGAACTCTCATATGACCCAGCAATCCCTCTGCCGGGCATACACACCCAGGAAACCAGAATTGAAAGAACACATGTACGCTAATGTTCATCGCAGCCCTGTTTATAATAGCTAGGACATGGAAGCAACCTAGATGTCCATTGGCAGATGAATGATAAGAAAGCTGTGGTACATATACACCGTGCAATATTACTCAGCTATTAAAAAGAATGCTTTTGAATCAGTTCTAATGAGGTGGATGAACCTGGAGCCTATTATAGAGAGTGAAGTAAGTCAGAAAGAAAAACAGCAATACAGTATATTGACGCATATATATGGAATTTAGAAAGATGGTAACGATGACCCTATATGTGAGACAGCAAGAGATACAGATGTAAAGAACAGACTTTTGGACTCTGTGGGAGAAGGCAAGGGTGGGATGATTTGAGAGAACACCATTCAAAGATGTATAGTACCATACGTGAAATAGATCGCCAGTCCAGGCTCAATGCATGAGACAGGGTGCTCAGGGCTGGTGCCCTGGGATGACCCTGAGGGATGGGATGGGGAGGGAGGTGGGAGGGGGTTCAGGATGGGGAACACATGTGCACCCATTGCTGATTCATATCAATATATGGCAAAAACCACTACAATATTGTAAAGTAATTCGTCTCCAATTAAAATAAATAGATTAAAAATAATTAGTAATGGATGGTGCCTTTTTTCAAATACTTTTCCTGAGTCTTACTGAGATTATCCTGTTATTTTCTCTTTTGTTTGCTGATATGGGCAATAACACTGATGGATTTTTGATGTTAAATCAACCTTGTATTTCTGGAATAAACTCTACTTGATTAACAAGTATTATCCTTATTTTTTGTGGTACCTTTTTAAAAATTATTATTATTTTGCTGAGGAGTTTTTCAGCTATGCTCATGAGGGCTACCTTCTCTGATTTCTGTTATGTTTATGTCTGGTTTTGGTATCAGTAATACTGGCCTCATTTAGAATAATCGGGAGGTATTCATTCATTATCAATTTTCTGGAAGAGTTTGTGTATAATGTTAACTCTTCCTTCTGTATTTGGGAAAATTCACCAGTGAAACCATCTGTGCCCAGAGTTTTCTTTGTGGGAAGGTTTGTAACAACAAACTTAATTTTTTTATGGAAATCTGCTGTTGTGTCTTTGTCTATTTCTCATTGAAGTTTTGTTAGTTTTTCATTTCATGCAGTTTGAAGTTCTCTTATTATGTGTATACATGTCTGGGATTATTATATCTGCTTCATGAATTGGCCTATTTATCAATAGGAAATGACTTTTTTCTATATCTGGTAGTATTCTTTGTTCTGAAATTTACTTTTCCTGATATAAATATATTGATTTCAGCTTTCTTTTGGTTAGTGTTAACACAGTAAATCTTTTAACATCCTCATACCTGTAATTTGTGTTTTTTTATTTGAAGTGCATTTCTTATAGGCAGCATATTATTATGTCTTGTTTATTTATCCTGTTGGGAAAATCTCTGCCCGTTAATTGGGTGTTTAGACCATTTACATATTTTGTGTTTGTTCATATGGTTTTGTTTAAATTTATCATTTTGCTACTTGATTTCTGTTTCTTCCACCAGTCCTTTATTCTTTTTTCCAACATTTTCTGCCTTCTTTGGGATTAACTGAACACTTTTTGTGATTTAATTTTAATTCGTCCGTTGACTGAATGGCTGTAAATCTTTGTTCTGTTAATTTTAGTGGCAGCTTTAAAGGTTATAGTATACAAGTTTAGCTCATTGCAGTCTACCTTCAAATGATACTATACCGTTTAATCAATAGTATAAGAACCCTATGGGATTCCCAGGTGGTGCCGTGGTAAAGAATCCATCTGCCAATGCAGGAGACTCGAGAGATGGGGGTTCAATCCCTGGGTCAGGAAGATCCTCTGGAGTAGGAAATGGCAACCCACTCCAACATTCTTGCCTGGGAAATCTTCATAGAGAGGAACCTGATGGGCTACATGGGGTCACAGAGTCGGACATGACTGAGCAGGTGTACACCTATATGAATCTTTTAATGTACTTCCATTTCTTCTGTACCAGCCTTTGAACTAACACTGACCTACATTTTACTTTTACATTAGTTATAAAGTCCATGATACATGGTTTCTATTTTTGTTTAAACAATATCTTCTAAAGAGCTTTACGTAATCACACAAAGCTTCCTCATCTTTTACCCATGTGGTTATGTATTTTCTGGTGCTCTTCATTCTTTGTGTAGATCAGATTTCCTTCTGGCATCATTTTTTTCTGCCTGAAGGTCTTTCTTAACATGTCTTATTGTGCACGTGTGTTTGTGATAAATTCTCTCAACCTTTGTATAACTGAAAGTCTTTATTTAGCCTTTGTTCTTTAAAGATATGTTCTGCGTTTTTTTCTTTCAGCCTAATAAAGATGTTTCTCTACTATCTCTTTCACTTGCATTGTTTCTGGTGACAAATCTGCTATAGTCTTTATCTTTATTCCACTTACATAGTGTCATTTTTTTTCTGACTGCTTTTAAGTTTTTTTGTTTGTTTCTCACAAGTTTTAAGCCGTTTAATTATAATATGCATTGAGGTAGTTTTCTTCATGCATATCATACCTTAGACATATGAATTCTTCAATTTATACAGTTATAATTTTCATTGAATTTTAAATATTTTTAGGCCTTATTTCTTGAAAAATTAAGCAGTCCCACCCTCCAGCTCCTCTTCTGTGATTCCAATTACATGTATATTAGGCTGCTTAAAATTGCCCCACAGTTCACTGATGCTTTTTCACTTCTTTTCTGGATCCCTTTGCTCTAGATATTTCATTTCTGATAGTTTCTATTCCCATGTCCTCAGTATATTAATTCATTTTTTTTTGCAATTTATTGTATCTAGCTTTTTAATTTTAATCTTTATAAATTTTATGAGGGTCTTTAAATTTTTAAAATATCTTCCATGTCTACATACCTTTTGAATACATGGAATACAGTTTAATTGTTTTAGTGTTCCTATTTGATAATTCTAACATAGATGTCAATTCTGGGTTGGTCCTACCCAATGGAATGATTTCCCCTTTATGAGTCATATTTTCTTGCTGCTGTGGGTCTGAGAATTTTTGATTGACATTGGGAATTTCACCAGGCATTGTGAATTTTACATTGTTGGATGTGGTTTATGTTTGTATTTGTATAACTACTATTGAGGTTTTTCTGTGATGTAGTTACATGTCTTGAGAAATTGATTATTTCAGGTGTCACTTTTAGGATTTTTTATGGACCAGAGCAGCACTCATGTTTGGACTAATCATTTTCCATCTTCAAGGTAAAAATCTTGTGTGTACTCTATTTACTGTCCCTCTCTTTTTGAGGGTTATTCAGTTTGGGTGGCGGCAACAGGCACTATTCCCTGCCTTGTGTGAGCACTGGACATTGTTTTGTTGTTGTTTAGTCACTGAGTCCTGTCCGACTCTTGAGACTCCATGGACGGTAGCCCGCCAGGCTCCTCTGTCCATGGGATTTCCCAGGCAAGAACACTGGAGTGGGTTGCCATTTCCTTCTCCAGGGGGTCTTCCTGACCCAGGGAAGAGCCCATGTGTCCTGTTTGGCTGGCAGACCCTTTAGAACTGAGCCACCAGGGGGGCCCCGTAGGGCGTTGTTGCTGTTAGTTGTTTTGGGCGGCTCTTTGGCGACTCACGCAGTTTCCTCGGTGAGTACATGGTTCGGCACACCGGTGCATACTTACAGGGGAAGACTTGCACGTCTTCAGGGATTATGATCCTCTCTCTGTCTGAAGTTTCTCCCTTTGCTACTCTTTCCTGAGAACTCCAGGTGCTTTGTTCTTTCCAGACGGTCACTTTCATCTCCTCAGCTCACGGCGTCTCCAGTCTCCACCTGATTTCTTCCTTCTGCACTGTGGTCTGGAGACCCTCTCAGGAATGTCACAGGGCTCATCTCCTTGTTTCCCATCTCTCCGGAATCATTGTCTTTTGTTATCTGATGCCAGTGCCTTGCAAGTCATGGTTTCATATGTTTTCACTTTTTTGTTGTTTTGGGTGGAAGGATGGAACTTGTTCCTGTTTCTCCATTTGGGTGTGGGCAGAAGTCTGTAACTTTTTTATAAAGGGAAAATATAGAGATAAATTTGGAAGCATCAAATGTTTATAAGTTAGGTATTGGCTGTATAATCAGTTCTTTCAGAATTAGAAAAAATGAGGAAACTAAGATAACTTTCACTGTATTGTGCAATAAGAATTGTTTATAATGAGACCTTTTGATAGTTAAAATAAGCTGAAATATCTTTTGAGATATCAGAAACATGTTAGACTATTTAGCAAAGTTTTACAGTTCCAAATTATCTTGCATTCCAATAAATAACTCATATTATGCATATGATAACTCTCACTTAAAGAGGATGCTTATATCATTTTTCAACTATTTAGGAGAAAGTCCAGCATGGATTGTCCTAAACATTTTGATCATTTTATACTATTTTCTTAGAAGTTTATTTTCTCTTCACCCTCAGCCTCTTCTGGGTGGTTTTTTATTAGCACTGATTGTTAAAGCAAAGATCATTGTATTGAGTTTTAGATTTGGCCATTTTCCAATTGCTCATATAAAAAACTATATGAACAACTTGAAGATTCTTGGCCTGTTTGAAGCATCAGATTGTGTTTGGGAATATATTGATGACAAAAGGAAAGAGATTAAATCTAAAGAAGATACCATATGCCTGATATAATCTCATTTGAGGTCTGTTAAAA